TGGAGAATGGTCCCTGGTCAAAAAAAGGTTGGGAACCACTGATCTAGGGCCACATCTACACTAGCATATAATGCAGTTTCAGAGCGCAGCTTAACTGCATTGAATTGGATTATATGAGTCTACACTGCCATGCACTTCAAGCAATCATGCTGGTCACATGACCTAGGAAGCGTCATTAATTAGATTATAGGAGTTTACACTGCCACATGCAATTAAATTGCATTATATGGCAGTATAGATGGAGCCAAAGTCTCTGGATGCTCCCCACTTTTTCCAGATATTTATATTCTGTTCATGAGGCTGGAAAAGGAGGTGTAAGAGACAAATCAGATACCATGGAGGAGGAAAAGGGAGGCCCTTGTCTTTGTTTAAGAACTATATAAAATGACAAAAGCCAGGCAAGCGGAGACCAGGCCGACAATAAATTAACTTCCAGAAAAGTGAACAAGGAAAGCAGCAACAAGGGAGAGGATCCTGTTTTCTTGCATGTACTAAAAAGTTTGTCTTGCAGAATTGAAGATGTTTTCCTTTGTTTTGAGGAAGCATGGGTTCAGAGTGTAAGGACTGCCAATCCTAGTTATATAGCTATAGCTGGCTGGGGGATTCTGGAGTGGCAGTTCCAATAGAAACATTTCCAAGCTCCTCCAAGAACAAAGGCCAAGCAGCACAACTCAAAGCCTCCAGAGTTCCTTCTAACTGGTTGCATGCCAAATATGCTTTCCCCAACCCCATGCAGGCACATAAGTCTCTCTCAGAAGGTGCTTTCTCATCATCATCATTTAATTACTTATTAATCGCCCTCCATCCGAGAATGCTCCAGGCGATTTACAGCTAAATTACAAAAGATCCACCTGTTGGTCAAATCTGTATGGTCAAATCTGGCATGCAAAACCTTTAAAGGCCTTTATAGGAGTGACTTGCAGTTTCTCAGGTCGCTCTTGACACGACAAAAAAAAAAGAAAGAAGTGAATCCATATGCAAGCAAATCAATGAGTCAAACTATTAACTAAATTATAGAGTTGGATGAAGCTACAAGGGCCACCTTGGTTGTCTGACACTGCCACAGCTCAAAGCTTGCGATTGGTGGTTTGACAAGGCTCCCAAACTCTTTGGCAGAGCAGGAAAAAGAGTTATACGAACTACCCTATCTCATTATTCCATAGCATTAACCAGTGACAGATTGTTATTATTATTATTATTATTATTATTATTATTATTATTATTTCAAACACAACAAGATGAGTCCACAACAGACACTCTGCTGGTTGTTGTATTGGATCACACGTCAGACACTTCCCAAGTGTCCAAGTATCAGCGAATAATGCATGCAGATCCCAGTAAGTTGGTCTTCTGCAGCTGGCAGATGGTAATTTTGTCAGCGCCGATTGTGTTTAAGAGCCGGCCAAGGTCTTTAGGCACTGCACCCATTGTGTCGATCACCACTGGGACCACTTTGACTGGYTTGTGCCTGAGTCTTTGCAGTTCGATCTTTAAATCCTCATATCGTGTCAGCTTTTTCATCATTATTATTATTATTATTATYATTATCATTATCATTATTATTGGATTGTTGTAGTTTTTTTCAGGCTGTATGGCCATGTTTTASAAGCATTCTCTCCTGACATTTCATCTGCATCTATGGCAGGCATCCTCAGAGGTTGTGAGGTCTGAGGATGCCTGCCATAGATGCAAGCGAAACATCAGGTGAGAATGCTTCAAAAACATGGCCATACAGTCCGAAAAACCATGAAGACCATGAAAGCCTTCGACAATTATTATTATTTCTTTGCCGTCTCTCATCTTGGCTAGAGGTGGATCACATCATAGTTAAAACACATAGTCACTGCAACATTCCATAAATACACACATTAAAAGTTGAAGTGATATCAAAGTGCATTCATTTTACAGTGTAGATCAGGCATGGGCAAACTTGGGCCCTCCAGGATTTTGGACTGCAACTCCCACAATTCCTAACAGCCTACCGGCTGTTAGGAATTGTGGGAGTTGCAGTCCAAAATCCTGGAGGGCTCAAGTTTGCCCATGCCTAGTGTAGATGCCCATCCAATCTCTGTTTAAAGCTCTTCAGCATCATTCGTAGACATGTACACAATTGAATGGGATGAAGCCTTAAATTCTTCACACAACCAGGACACTCTTTGGGACAAAAATGTGTAAAAGTGAGTTTAGTGGAGAGAGAATATCTGAACTAAAAGTGGCGTTCTTCGGTAGAACCTAGGCCTTTTCTAGACTCCCATATAATGCAGTTTGAAATTACATTATATGGTCAGTGTACTCATATATTACAATTTATCTGCACTGATCTGCATTATAAGAGTCTTACAGCCATGGGCAAACTTGGACCCTCTGGGTGTTTTGGACTTCAACTCTCAGAAATCCCAGCCAGCTTACCGGCAGTTAGGAATTGTGGGAGTTGAAGTCCAAAACACCTGGAGGGCCCAAGTTTGCCCATGCCTGGCCTACAGAAGCTACAGAAGCTACAGAATGTCGCTTCCAAATGCAATATATGACAGTGTACTTGGAGCCAGAGAGCCCAAATCTTGCGCTGAAACAGATCCAGGCAAAGCCAAACAAACAATCTCAGTCCAATGTGTTGTTGTAGACTTTCATGACCAGAATCACTGGGTTGCTGTGAGTTTTCCTGCCTATATGGCCATTTTCTAGAAGCATTCTCTTCTGATGTTTTGCCCACATCTATGGCGTGCATCCTCAGAGGTGGGTGAGATCTGCTGGAAACTAGGAAAATGGGGTTTATATATCTGGGAAATGTGCAGGGTGGGAGAAGGAACTCTTGTCTGTTGAAAGAAAGTGTGAACATTGCAGTTGGCTAACTTGAGTCCTTATTCCCAAAGTGGACATTCCACAGATATATAAACCCCACTTGCCTAGTTTCCAGCAGACCTCACAACCTCTGAGGATGCCCACCACAGATGTGGATGAAACGCCAGGAGAGAATGCTTCCAGAACATGGCCATATAGCCGGAAAACTTACAGCAATCCAATCCCAGTCTAGTTCCCCTTACCAGTTCAGCTTGGGGGCCTATCTGCATTGTAGCATTATAGAGTCATAGTCATAGAATCATAGAGTCATAGAGTTGGAAGAGACCTCATGGGCCATCCAGTCCAACCCCCTGCCAAGAAACAAGAATATTGCATTCAAAGCACCCCTGACAGATGGCCATCCAGCCTCTGTTTAAAAGCCTCCAAAGAAGGAGCCCCCATCACACTCCGGGGCAGAGAGTTCCACTGCTGAACAGCTCTCACAGTCAGGAAGTTCTTCCTCATGTTCAGATGGAATCTCCTCTCTTGTAGTATGAAACCATTGTTCCGTGCTCCAGGGAAGCAGAAAACAAGCTTGCTCCCTCGTCCCTGTGACTTCCTCTCAAATGGCTATCATATCTCCTCTCAGTCTTCTTAATGCAGTTTGACACTCCTCCAACATTAAGTCCAGTTGTGTCTGACTCTGCGGGTTAGTGCTCATCTCCATTTCTAAGCCAAAGAGCTGGCATTGTCCGTAGACAACTCCAAAGTCATGTGGCTGGTATGACTGCATGGAGCGCCATTACCTTCCCGCCGGAGCAGTACCTATTGATCTACTCACATTTGCATGTTTTCGAACTTTTAGGTTGGCAGAAGCTGGGGCTAACAGCAGGAGCTCACCCCGCTCCCCAGATTCGAACCTGGAACCTTTTGGTTACCACCTTAACTGCCATATAGATTTCTGGGAGTTGTGGTTTCTCATGTTCTTCAGCCTCATGGAAATACATACATCTCCCAGGGTTCCACAGCATGGAGTTCAAGTGGTGTCCAACTGCATTCATTCTGCAGTGTAGATGGCCCTGGTGATGCAGTGGGTTAAACAGCTGAGCTGCTGAACTTGCTAACCAAAAGGTTGCAGGTTTGAATCCGGGGAGCAGCATGAGCTCCCGCTGTTAGCCCCAGCTTCTGCCAACCTAGCAGCTCAAAAACATGCAAATGTGAGTAGATCAATAGGTACCACTCCTGCAGGAAGGTAACTGAAGTTGTGGTTCTGGGACCACGCTTTTGGATTGCAGGCACAAATAGCACTTTGGATATGAAATCTGACGGGAATGATGATATGGCTGTTAATACTGTGTTCTTACTGTTTTATTGCTTGTAATTATTATTATTATTATTATTATTATTATTATTTACTTCATTTATATACCGCTTTTCTCAGCCCTTGGGCAACTCAAAGCGGTTAACAATAGCAAAATTCAATGCTCAACATCATAAAAACAGTTAAAAAACAATTAAAACAATGACATAATAAACAATCAATTAAACATAACTATAACATCTCATTAGCGTCTCATAGGTAGAATTAAGATCCAATCTCATAATCCATTGTTCCATATTCCTATATTAAATACACTGCCTATTCAAATGCCTGCTCGAATAACCAGGTCTTCACTTTCCTCTGAAATGCTTATAGGGAGGGGGCCGATCAAATTTCTGTAGGAAGGGCGTTCCACAGCTGAGGGGCCACCACTAAGAAGGCCCTGACTCTTGTTCCCACCAGATGTACTTGTGATGCAGGTGGGATTGAGAGCAGGGCCTCCCCAGATGATTTTAACGTCCTAGCTGGTTTATAGGAGGAGATGCGTTCGGACAGGTAAGTTGGACAGGTAAGGTATGTTCTATGAATGTTCTATTTATTATTTAATTGTTATTATATTGCTTTGTTATATGTAGTGGTATTGAATTGCTGCCAAATGTAAGTCGCCTGAGTCTCCCTTCAGGGGTTGAGAAGGAATGGGGTAGAAATAAAGAAATCAATAACGTGATCCATGCAGTCATGCCGGCCACATGGCCTTGGAGGTGTCTACTGACAACGCCGGCTCTTCGGCTTAGACATGGACATTAGCACCACCACGCAGAATCGGACTCGACTGGACTTAATGTCAGGGGAAAGCTTCACCTTTACCTAGATAGATGCTCCCTCCTCAAAAGAGGCTCACCTTTAGGTGGAAAGGCTGGATCTCTCCCAGCCTCTGGTTCCTGAGCTTCTTCGTCAGGATCTTGAGCATGGTCCAGCCCTGGAGAGCCAGGAGAGGGTCCAGCTTCACAGCCAAGCTGGGGAAGAGGCTGGGCCGGGGGATCCCACCTCGCTCACAGCATCCCGAGCGGCTTCTTCGGGTCCTTCAAACGCCCCCGAGGCTCCTCGCCCCCTTCCTCCTCCTCTTTCTCCGCCTTCCTCTCCCAAAGAGCCAGCGTCCTCATTGGAGAGGAGACCCAAGGGGAAAACTTTGGTAGCAGGTTTAGGACGAATGTTTCCTTGATGCAACAAGAGCTTCGCGGGAGAAGGAGCTGCGAAGGTGCTCCTCAGCCTTCCCGCATCTCTTTCCTCTCCTCTCTCCCACTTAACTCTCCTTGGCTTTTTCTTGCTGGGCTTCCGCGCAGGCGCGCACTCTCCGCCTTCTTCTCCTCCTCCTCCTCCTCCTCCTCTTCCTCGCTCGGGGAAACTTTTCTGCCCCCAACAAGACAACGCTCAGCCCCGGCTCCGCGATTGGACAGCCGGGGCGGAGCGTGTCAAGTTGGAGGGGAGGGGCTTCCCTTTTAAAGGGAACCCAAAAGGGGCCCCCTGCCAAGGGGAGGTCCCCACGCTTCTAACCCCGCCCCCTGCCGGTCTAGCCACGCCCCTCTAAAAGTGGTGCCACCCACTGTGCTCCCTCCAGGTGTCACCCCCTGCCTTACCAGACTCTGGCACAGAGTTGGAAGAGACCTCGAGGGCCGTCCAGTCCAACCCCCTGCCAAGAAGCAGGAAAATTGCATTCAAAGCACCCCAGACAGATGGCCAGCCAGCCTCTGTTTAAAAGCCTCCAAAGGAGGAGCCTCCACCACACTCTGGGGCAGAGAGTTCCACTGCTGAACAACTCTCACAGTCTGGAAATTCTTCCTAATGTTTAGGAATCTTCTTTCCTGTAGTTTGAATCCATTGTTCCATGTCCTAGTCTCCAGGGTGGCAGAAAACAAGCTTGCTCCCTCCTCCCTATGACTTCCCCTCACATATTTATACATGGCCCTCATTATGTCTCCTCTCAGCCTTCTCTTCTGTAGGCTAAACATGCCCAGCTCTTTAAGCCGCTCCTCATACAGCTTGTTCTCCAAACCCTTGATCATTTTAGTTGCCCTCCTCTGGACACATTCCGGCATGTCAACAACACCCTTCAATTGTGGTGCCCAGAATTGGACAGTATTCTAGATGTGGTCTGTCCAAGGCCTAATAGAGGGGTAACACAACTTCTCTGGATCTAGACACTATACTCCTATTGATGCAGCCCAAAATCCCATTGGCTTTTTTTGCCACCGCATGACATTGTTGGCTCATGTTTAACTTATTGTCCACAAGGACAGAATGGGGGACATGTGCTCTCGATCCACACGTCCCTCATTCTGTATCTTTGCATTTCATTTTTTCTGCCTTAGTGGAGTATCTTGCATTTGTTGCTGTTGAACTCCATTCTGTTAGTTCTGGTGCATCTTTCTAATCTGTTAAGATCGTTTTGAATTCTCCTCCTAATGTTTAAGTAGAATCTTTTTTCCTGCAATTTTTTACCCTAGACTCCAGAGCAGCCAAAAACAAGCTTGCCTCTTCCTCAATGTGGCAGACTTTCAAATAGTTAAACATGGCTACCACGGCCCCTTTCCACCTTCTTTTCATCAGGCTAAACATTCCCAACTCCCTACACTCCTCATACGGCTTGGTTTCCAAACTCTTGATCATTTTAATTGCCCTCCTCTGGACACATTCTAGCTTGTCAGCATCCTTCTTGAATATTGGTGCCCAGAACTGGAGATAGCATTCCTAGAGACATCACGCTGGCAACAAAAATCTGCATAGTTGATGCAATGTTATTTCCCATAAGGACCTATGGATGTGAGAGCTGGACCCTAAGGAAGACTGAGCGAAGGAAGATAGATGCTTTTGAACTGTGGTGCTGGAAGAAAATTCTGAGAGTGCCTTGAACTGAGAGAAAATCAAACCAGTCCATATTCCAGGAAATAAAGCCCAACTGCTTACTGGAGGGAAGGATACTAGAGGCAGAGATGAAGTCCTTTGGCCACATAATGAGAAGACAGGAAAGCTTGGAGAAGACTACTATGATGGGGAAAATGGAAGGAAAAAGGAAGAGGAGTCGACCAAGGGCAAGATGGATGGATGTTATCCTTGAAGTGACTGGCTTGACTTTGAAGGAGCTGGGAGTGGTGATGGTTGACAGGGAGATCTGTCGTGGGCTGGTCCATGAGGTCACAAAGAGTTGGAAGCAACTGAATGAACAAACAACACACACACAAATATATATATATATA